TTAAGGATGGGATTGGGGTATTCAAAAGTTTGGGGATCGATTTGGAATGAGAATCATAGTTTGAGGACATGTAATACAATTAACTCAGTTAGATATAAAAATTAAAATCAAATACCATATGTATGTTTAACCTATACACAGATTTCACTTAATGGTATTTGTAATTAGTATCCTAAGTGTGTGATCAAAGAGTTAGTATACTTGGTGATGCAACGTTTCATTTGCCCTGAAACTATCTCAAACTGGGCTTCTTCGTATGTGAATGCGAGACATCTTCGAATACACGAATATCGCATAGTGTACCGTAAAATGTTGGCCATTAGGCCCATTTTTTGAGTTAAAACTCGTTCACTTTCTTATAGATGCCCTGTTGTTGGGTCGGTCCAATATTTCCCTTAACCCTATTCAGAGGTGAGCAGAATTCAAATTTAACTTATCCAATTTTTTTTCTTTTCTAAATTTATCTTTTCCGCCTTATTAAAAAAATCGATCTGAATTTGATTTCGAGTTATAATTTCATGAATTTAACTCGAAATTTTTTTAAATTCAAGTCAAGTTGTAAAAATAGAATTTGAATAACTTAAAATGTAACTTAAATAACTTAATTTTTTAATAATTAGTAGATTAATTTTTAAATTTGAGTCGAGTCTCTCAACTTTATATGATATATGTAATAACATATAAAAAATATGAAGAAAAAAAAATATTATATGATTATGAAAATAATTTAAATTAGAATCAAATAATATCATAATATTATAAATATTTATAATTGAATTTAAACAAAAACTTGAATAATTCAAATCTATTTGAAAAAATTTAAAATCAAATTGAATTATAAAGCAATACTTATTAAATCGATAATTTTTTACTCAATTGAACGTTGATTCTTAACCCTATTTCTTTGAAAATGTCTATAGGCTAAAAACAAGCCACATATGCTCCCTGCCTGTCGTTACCATACGCGCCATGTGACTCCCTTCTCGTGCCTGCCTGAGTTATTAGACGTTTTTACCCATTTCTAACAAAGGCTGAAAAAAAAAGAAAAAAAAAAAGCAACCTCCGATTTGTGAAGCAAAGTTTCAGAAGATTCCAATTGACAAGGGAGAGCGATCGAAAAACAGTAGCGTTTTGAAATAAGTTCCATGGCTTCACGGTTGATTCGTCCCAGACTCTCACTGTCGAGACTCTAGTTAGTTTATAATCTTTCTTCCGCTTCTTTGATTCGTGTTTTGTTACGGTTTGATTCTTCTACTAGATATTCGGATTTCGATCGTTTGTAAAATTTTAGAAACAACAGATGATTCTGTCATTAAAAAAAATTTCGAATTCCTCTAATTAGGCTATAATGTTGGAATTGATTTTGTTGTGGAGATGAACAGGTTAAATTTAGTTCTCTATTTTTGTTGCTATGTGGATTAAGAACTTTCTCTTTTGGATCTTCTCCTTTTGTAATAATTCAGTTTAATGGCTGGGAACAAGAATGGGAGATTTCTTTCAACCGAGTCTAACAAGGTTGATGAGCCGTTCAAAGTTGAAGAAGCAGAGACTGTAAATGTACCTCCTCCTCCTGAAAAGGTGCTTGTTAGAACTCAGACTATTGTCAATTTAAGAATTGTTGGCTTTTTTTTATTTATTGCTTCATTTCAGCTGCTTGTATTGGGTGGAAATGGATTTGTTGGCTCCCATATATGCAGGGAAGCTTTGAATCGTGGTCTGAATGTTGCTAGCCTCAGCAGGTATTCGAATTTTCGTAAAAATTCCTGGTACAAATGATTCTTACCCAGGATTTCTTTATAGAATGTAAATTTATTTGAAATAATTTTTATTTCTCATATGGTCTGATTCAGTAATGAAGTACTTGAACTAATGGTGTTTGCAACTATGTTTTCTTGCAAGATGTAGAGTACATAAGAAATTTGTGACTGTTGCACAATGTGTTTTTAGACTTAATTTTTGAAATATCATGGAAAGTGATCAGTCCTTTAACTTTGTACTCTTTAGCTGGGAATATTTATCTAGTTGCTTTAGTCGTTATATGCATCTGTAATGTAAAGGCTGCTTCTTTAAATGTCCCTGATATACTTCCTTAGCTTTTACAGATAAGCTCTCATTGAACTGATGCTTTGTAGTACAATGTTCAATTTTTAGAGTAGGTAATAATACCCTACATTGTTGATGTGTGGAGATGCCTAATATTTTCTGCTGTGCTCTCTCCCATTTTTCCATTTTTATCAATTGCTTGTATTTCTTCAGCTCCTTAATTTGGTTGCTTCTTTCAATTAGGTCTGGTGGATCCTCTTTACTTGAGTCTTGGGCTAAGAATGTGACATGGCATAAAGGTTTTTTTTCTTTATATACTTTTCTAGATGCTATTAATTGCATGCTGTAACGTATCTAACTTATTACTTCCGTTCAGGGAACCTTCTTTCTTCTGAGTCGTGGAAGGAAGCTCTTGATGGAGTTACATCTATTGTATGTATTCCCTTGATTCTGCAGATGGTTTAACATACAAAAATCAGTCTGAGCTAACTTTACTTGCACAGCCATACACAATGGTCCATAATTTAATTCTGGCATTCATATTAAAATTCCCTGGTTTACTTACAATTCAATATGAATTTACTCTCTTCTTTGATATTCTTTTTTTTACCTGCTAATAAAGTTCAATTTTTTAGATCTCTTGCATTGGTGGTTTTGGATCTAATTCATATATGTATAAGATTAATGGGACTGCAAACATCAATGCTATCAGAGCTGCTGCAGAAAAAGGTATATAGATCATGATCTTTGTTGTGTTTATCTAGGGAAGATGTCTCTCTTCTTGTAGCTTGTTTCCGTGTGCTTTTTACATTATTTTTCCTCTGGGCTTTTTCCACCAGTAACATTACCTTGGACTTTAACCTTGTTTTATGTGTTGTTTACAGGTGTGAAAAGATTTGTGTATATATCCGCAGCTGATTTGGGCTTGGCAAACTATTTACTGAAAGGATATTATGAGGGGAAGGTACACTTTTTTCTTTGCTCTTTGTTCCTGATTGCCATTTGTTATGTCTATTCTGTGAAATGATATTGTCCAATTTTATTCTTAGCATTCTGCTCGAGATGTGGTATGTGAGCATATACATTGAAAATCTTATTTTGATAAGTAATGGAATAATGGCTCAAGTAGTCTTTTGGTTAATATCTTCTCTCTGATGGAGAATTCTCTTGTTCTTGTCTCGTTTGGAAACAGAGAGCTGCAGAGACAGAGTTACTCACTAAATTTCCATACGGAGGTAGGTTTCTGATTCACTTGATGTAATTTTTTGGAATTCTGCACCTAACTCTCACATTGCTTCTTATTGACTTATTGCTATGGTAAGCTCTTGCGATTTTGGTTTAGATAGTAGCCTGCTACTGCTAGCAATAACATGTGAAATTATCACCGTCTGGTAGTTATGGTACTTTACATCACATGAGAATTTTCATTTTCTATTGCAGGAGTGATTTTGAGGCCTGGCTTCATTCATGGGACTCGCCGTGTTGGAAGCATAAAGTTACCTCTAGGTGTTATTGGTTCACCACTAGAAATGGTAAATGCATGCATTCTAAATTTTCTTTTTCTTGTGTATGTTGTCTTCATTTGATCTATAACCTGACCTAAAACAGCAGAATGATTGGGTCCAATGGTGCATCCTAGTTTGTAGGGCGTTGGTGGAAGTACTTGGCATTTGACGTGTAATGATGCCTAGGTTAACTGTAACGATGCATGTTGGAGCATAAGCTTGGATGTGGCGGTTCATGAAAGTCTGTCTCAGAGTCATAAAACTAAGATTTCTTCCGTCTCTGCAGGTTCTCCAGCATGCAAAACCATTGAACCAGATACCACTAGTTGGCCCGTTGTTCACTCCCCCTGTTAACGTGGCCTCCGTTGCCAAGGTAGCAGTGAGAGCGGCAACTGATCCAGTTTTTCCTCCGGCCATCGTGGATGTATACGGAATACAACAATTTAGCCAGCAAATGTCAAGATAGATTAGTAATTGAAGTTGGGAGTTTTTGGTTTGTTTCCTATAATTCACAAGTAAAGAGCTGTCGATATGAATCTGTTAAAGGATGCATGGCTGCCCGTAAATTCTTGTAATGGTTGCTGATTTAAGAGAGTGAACGAAACAAGGTCCACAGTTGGCTCCGATGCAATAAAAAAATTGAGCACTTCTCACGGGTTTAGACAAAGAATAAACCTTCCCCCCCCCCCCCCCCCCCAACCCCCTCCTCTTAACTCGGTACAACATTATATACGTCAACTGAATCAAGGGAGAAGTGGCATAGGATATTTTATAAAATCATTAATCAACATCAATGCCATCTTTGTATTATTTAGTCATTTTGGTCGTTCTCGTTTCTTCTTTTTATTATTTATTTACTTTAGTTCTCAGCGTTTATTCTTTATTCTTAAAAAGAAGCTGGCTGGTTCCACTGAAACACTGTCATATTTAGAAACAATTTAAAAATTAAAGACAGTAAAAAAACGTAAAAGTATTAAAAAAAAAAATCACTAAAATGTTCTAAAAAGTATAAGAAAATCTTAGAAATTCAGAATTTATTTTATAAAATGATAAAACCCTCATATTCTTTGTCCTAAATTTTAAAATTTTAATGTATTTTTTTTAAAAAATTGAATTTTAATTACTTTTAAATATACTTATATATATTTTTAATTTGAAAAAAAAGCAGTTATAAGAGTTTAATATATTTTTAAATTTTTGAAGTATTTTGTAATTTTTTTTTATGTTTTTATGGATTTTTGAATGGATAGTATTATTTTTTAAAAAATTGTTAATAAAATGAAACGATAACAAAATAAAAGGAGAAGTATTACAACTGTAAAAGGGCCAAACCAAATATTTCAATACCTTGGGCTGTGATGGAGTCGGACTCATGAACATGAGCACCCAATGACAGCCGAAAAACCAATTCAAGAAAGGGCGAACCAGCCCAATAGAAGGCTTCGTTCATCGACAACATAGCAAAACACGAAGCAATTCGTCAGGAAGAAGAAAAACTGAAAAGGGGCAAAGGGAAATAGAGAATGAATCATAACCAGCAAAGCAACGATGGGAAGCACGATGACGACTCTGCTCTCTCCGACTTCCTTGCCTCTCTTATGGATTACACTCCCACTGTACTTTTTCTTCCTTTCCATTTCTTATTTGATAAATAAACTGCTCTAGGACGGGATTCCTCATACGTTTCTGTCATGTTTTGGGGATTCTTTGTGGCAGATACCTGACGAATTGGTGGAACATTACTTAGCCAAGAGTGGTTTTCAATGTCCCGATGTTCGATTGTAGGTATTTTTCCTCTCTCTTTTTGTTTACTGTCCGTTTCCTTTTTTTTTTATCCTGTGTCTAGCTTGCCAAGCTGAAAATTTCAGGAAAATAAAGTATTTTAAGAAGACGCACTTTTGCTTCTGTTGGTATTTGGCGATTAAGTTTCCAAAATTTTATCTCTGCTTCACTGGAAGTCTGGAATGGCTCTACCTGGGGTTGTTATATTTTCATTTAGTTGGTTCTAGATTTCTGGATAATGGAATATTTAATCCTCACATTTAATTATCTGTTTCTTTTTATGGTTGCTTCTTAGTTTCTCTAATTCTTAGCTTGCCTTTTAATGTTGAAAAAGAGGGGTGCAGTATAAGGCTGGTGATTTCCTTTAATTCTATCTCTTAGATGTTTTAGATCTGATAAGGTGGCGTGAGCTTCCCATTGATGCTTTATTTATTTATTTTCATTCATGTTCGACTTTTATTGTGCTTTTGCAGGATAAGGCTTGTAGCTGTTGCTACGCAAAAGTTTGTTGCGGATGTCGCAAGCGATTCACTTCAGTATGAAACCGAAAACATTTCGACTTTTCTTTCTCTGTGTTTCTTCCATGAACCCACTAACCGTGTTGTGAATGTCATTTTGTAAAACGTTTACATAGAAGCTTTAATTCTCTTACTTATTTGCCATGGGAGATGTTATGGAAATGAGTAAACTTTTGAGTAGTTTCAGTTTGGATTGGCTCCTATTTAAGTTAGTTTGGTTGTGACATTTTTTCACCCCAAATGTAGGCATTGCAAGGCAAGACAGGCCGCGGTAGTCAAGGACAAAAGGGACAAGCAGCAAAAGGTATTCCATTGATATTTTTTGCTTTTAAAGTTTTTCGACCCCTTTTGGATGGTCTGACCCTGATTTTGGAACAGGATAAACGCCTAATCTTGACCATGGACGATCTCTCGAAGTCATTACGTGAGGTAAGGCCATTTTGGTGACTTGTGTGGATGACTAGATGTTTTAAAGAAACTGGTTATGCCATTTGTTTTTCATCTTCAATGAATAAAGGGTATTAGTTTCTCTTATCGTTTTCGTTCGTATCTAGAATTTATTGATTTTGTGTTGTTTGAACGAGCAGTATGGAGTGAATGTGAAGCAGCAGGAGTATTTTGCTGATAGCCCATCAACTGGAATGGACCCTGCATCTAGAGATGAATAGAGTTAGGACATTGCCATTGCTTGTATCTATTTTGTTGATCTACATATAATTATATTGCATCTGTGTTACTGCAAATGCTGCTATACCCATGTTGCTGGAATGTTTTCTTACAGCCCTTTATTACTGATTGCTCAATCCTCATCTTAATATAACGCCAAGATTTGGAACCAATGTCTTGCTTAAGGAATTGAACGTTTTATCCCGATAGATAAACCGGTAGTTTAGTGTACAATCTACTAATGAGATGGTAATGGTTGAGACTTGAGAAGGTGATGATATATTGACAAAACTTTCTTAAATGCTGCCATTTTTATATACACGTGGCATTAATTTACAAGGAGGTATCCATCATGGCAAATATTGTTCAAGGCACACCTTCAGTTTTTGGAAAGTTACTGGCTTTGATTCAAACGAGTCCATGCCATTTGCAAAACAGTCATCAGCACTCTCTGACGATGCATTTGCAGTCAGCTGCATTCACACAAACATTTTTCTGTTAGTGTATGATACATTCAAGACTTGTCTTTCTTGGATAATAAGAGCCAAACTTGATTATTCAAGGGAAGTTAAAGTGATGAACTTACTGCAATTATGGTGGTACGCTTTGGACGCGTACAATCTGGTTGTAATGAATCAGAAGGCAACGGTTGCTCTATCCCTGCCTTCACTGCGGCATCCCAATTACCAGTTTCTTCGAAGGAACGGATCAATCTTGTTGCTTGAAGGCCATCCATGACTGGCATGCACACATCCTGCAAGATAAACTCGTAAAATGGTTGCTTTAAACCAGTTGGAAGCAACTCATGTACACAGGACGGAAGGATAAACTCGTAAAATGGTCGCTTGAAACAAGTAGGAAGCAACTCATGTTTACAGGAGGGAAGTATTTACCATCAGGATGAGATCATAACTACGGCACTGGACTGCACGGACGGCTTCGATGCCGTTGTTCACGACATCTATTGTGTGACCTAACTGCTTCATCATGTTCTGTGTCACCATTACATTAATCTTGTTATCTTCCACCAGCAGGATCTTAGGCTTTGAGATGGAATTTGATACTTCTTGACTGCTGTTTAATGTGGACTGAGAACAGTTGTCAGATTTCTCCTGCCTCTTGGGAGGTAGCTGAGGCCCACGTATCTTCATTTTCGTGTCGACATCTCTGCTTGTCTCTGAGCAACTTGACACGTCTCTAGTAGAAGCTCTGGCCTCGGCGTTTTCGTCGTTCCAATGATGGTTGTCTCTGCAAATTGCACTTTCATTATGGGGGTCTGAGCTGTGCCTAAATGAATTTTCAGGCTCAGATGATATCTCTACAGCTTCAGCCACGGAACAAGAGTCTTCAACGAAATCCATCTCCTTCGTCTCTGAGAACCCATTAAATTTATGCGAATTTGCATAGCAATAGCCAATATTATGAGGTAATAACCTTTGGGTTCTGCTAGATCCATTAGATGAAAATAGAGAACCCAAAGTACGTTGCTGGAATTGGAAAAAGTCGGCACTTGCATCATCATTTGTAGCACCATGGTCATCCATATCTGAGAGGTCATCCGGATCATCAGAATTATCACATGATAGAGAAACCTTGTAAGGTAGGATAAACGTAAATGTAGAACCACAATGCACTCGGCTAGACACTGTAAGACGGCCACCCATTAGCTCAACCTGTAGCAAAGGCATGAAATGTTAGTACTTAGGTTTTGTACCAGCACGAGTATCATTAAAATCTCTGTAAGTAATACCAACTCAAAATATATAGCACCACAAATTTTCCAACTTCTCAATGATTTAGAGTTTACCATACTAAGTGTAAACGAGCTGCAAGTAAATACTTCAGATATTTTGGCATGTGCAAGGCAACAATGTATTAAAAAGGAACTGGGAGATACTGAAAGCTCTGAAACAAACTATTTAGATTCTAATATAAAATTGTATACTTTTCTGTCCACTAAGTCCTTGGTTTGAACAAGACCTACTGAGACTTATAACATAATTATCTGATCTGCTAAAATGGTTCTTTAAGCCTAAGCTATAAAAGGGAGGAAACTATAGAAACTGTAGGGGAGAAAAACGAAACCAAACAGAACATTATTGTTGATGGAAGGAAGGATTCACCAGCTGTTTACATATTGCGAGGCCCAGTCCTGTCCCACCATACTTTCGGGCATGATTGGCACTGACTTGCATGTACTTTTTAAAAAGTGTAGGTAAAGCATTCTCTGTCATGGAAATAAAAGAAAATGTATCAAAATTTCCCCACCCTGCATCAACTTATATACATCTAACAAAATCTCAGATTAAAGACAAGCATACATATGTGTACCTGGTATTCCAATCCCAGTGTCATAAACATCACAGCGAATCCACATTGTTGTTTCAGGTAACTCTGCTTGTTCCTCAGATACATCTTTTGTTCCATTCTTTACTAGGGTACCAGGTTCACTTTGTGAATGGTTTTGGCAAGAACCTTCGTATTTCTTACCATGGTATCCTCTCTGATCACTGCTAGTTTGAGGCATTGATGTACATGTCTCTTCTTTGGATACATTAACTGTGGATTTATTACAAGTTGATCCATCAGATACAGGCTGAGATCCTTCCTTCGCAAAAGGCGGCTCTGGTACTACATAAAGTTTTACTCCTACCTTCCCTTCATGCGTAAACTTGATCGCATTGCTGGAGAAGAAGAAAGGTTGTTTTACTCGACATGCGAGAAATGAAAATTATGAATAGTAAATGATTCATAAATATCTTCTACGTTTAATTGTTAGAACCATTTATTTCCAAAATCCAAAACACAAACACACAATTTTACAGTTGCAGGAACATGTCATTTAATTGTCAGAATAATCAGTTATTTGGTCCATATTTACAAACAGTATTTTCATGATAATATATAGGAAATTGGAAAAAAAATCATGACTTCTCATAGATTAATACCTGATCAAGTTGGTGAGAATTTGTCGAATTCTTAGCACATCTCCAATGACCTGATCGGTGCATAAAGCTCCAAAATAAGAGGATGATGAAAAAATGGACTTGATTTTTAAATATAATGATCAATGGAAATGCGTCACAAGGGACACTCACCTCAATCGGAACATCATCTGCCACATTTCCTTCCAAGGTAAGAATCTTTTGCAATGATGCTGCAGCTGTTTGGAGAACATGCTTCACCACCTCTCTTGGTCGGAATTTTGTAGATTCCAACTTCATGACGCCTAATGAAACAGAGAAAAGAAGATAAATTTAGAAATTCTGACATCTGATAATGATAACCTGTCATGAGTGAGAGCATCAAATTTTTAGACAAAAATAAGTATGACGCAATTGTGAATCTGAAACAGAAATACAACTTTCCAGACATGCATTACGAGATCATTTTAAGACCATATCTCTCGTACTTGATATATATGATACTACTACACTGTTCAACTTCTAATCAGCTCTAAGAAATTAACATTCAAAGTTTAAAATTGAAAAATTACAGGAGCATGAGATTTTCATGCAATTTTGGGGCTGAAATCCGAACCTGATTCAACCTTGGAAAGATCAAGGATGTCATTTATGAGTTGAAGGACCAAGTCTCCTGAAGATAGCATGACATTTAACAATTGTCTTTGCTCCCGGTCAAGTTTTGTTGTTGTCAGGATCTCAGCCATGCTAACGACCCCAGATAGAGGAGATCTTATCTCATGGGACATGGTTGCCAGCATCTGTTTTGCACGCATTGTCTCCTCTAGAGAAATTGTAAAAAAGAAGGAAAATAAGAGTTACTTCAGTGCTTTAAAAGGGATAGCTAAAGATAAATTCACAAATATTGTCACCCTAGTAAATGAACCTGTTATATGTATGGTTCTGTTAAATTCTGTTTCCTTGGCCATTTGTACTGCAATCTCCTCTCGAAGCTTTATCATCTTTTCTCTTTTCCTTACCTATTGTGCAAAATCAGAAACATAAATACCCATTGTTCTCCATCTCAATTAATAGCTTATACATCCAATATGAACAAACTGTATGTATACCTGATCTGTTATATCCATTCCCATATAATTTATACCAATAGTCTCCCCTGCCTTGCTAAAAACAGGTTCCACGTATATCAAAAATGTCTTTGACCCAAATAGTTCTGTCTCAAACGTGATTTCCCTTTTTGCAGGCAGTCCTTTATCAATCACTTCCTTTTTAAAATCCTGAGACTCCTTAACACCAGATCCTGTAAAAATTTCCACATCCGTTTTTCCTAGAATGTCCTGAAATGAGAACCAACAAAATTTCAGGTAATTCTGATGCCACTTTATGGAAAAAAGGACAGCAAAAGGTAAGGGAGGAAAGTTACAAAAGAAGCCAAAAAAAAATGCGAGGGCAATCATGTTAGCGACCAACACTACAACAAAAGATACCAAACCTTGAATAAGAACTTCTTGTGCAATAAATTACCTCCTCTTGTAAACTTGGAAAATGGTTAAAAATAAAGCGATAACGCAGCTCTTTATCCTGAAAATTGATCAAACAATAAGTATCATTAGTTGAAAGATTCTAACATATTTCATCATACATCTGAATATGTGGATTATTGGCTTAAATGAATTATACACGAATTTAACAACTTTTAAATTGGCATTAGGTGGCATATTATATCACTAATATTTTGTTGATTACCTGATGTCCGAACACAACCGGTGCAGTTTGAAGCACAAAATGTAAGAAATTATCTGCTCTTTTGAGAATCTGGGACAACTCTTCAACTGGTGAGGACTGCTTTTCCAGATTTTTTATGCTTTCCTGCAACTTTTCCTTGAGTAGTTGCTCTCTCTGCATGCTGGTTTCCAACATTTTCTCCAAATGCATGGCTCTCTGTTTCCAGTATATGACAGTATCATACTCGGCATCAATTTCAACTCTTTTACTTGGAACCACAATATTACTTTTTCTCCGAGGAACTTCTTGCAATATATCATATATGCCATCCAGTATGGAAATTGAGCGTTTATCTCCTCCGT